TCTCATCTCCTCTTATGTAATTCATGGGGAATCAAATTTATTCCCAGAAGGGGGTAACTGTATCTATAAATATCATGTTCCAAGTCCTAGTAATATGACAAACACAGATGTAGAATAGACTATTAAAAACTACTAAAGTATGTATGCTATTAGTAACTCATTTCTTTAGTAATTTCAATCAGTTTTGACATCTACAATTCCATTAATGATATTTACTAGGAAATGTCAAATATTTGAGAATTTATTTCAGAAAAAGAAAACTTAAAAACAAAAATGGTAAAAACCTCTTATTAAATCATTTCATTAAATATTAGAATTAAAGACTGAAACATGAGAGAGACTCCTGAAAAATATGTTAGCAAAATATCCTCTTATTTATTATGTCATTGACTTGTATTTAAAATAATATTATAATCTTCAAAACTTAATTAATGAAAACACTTTTCAACTGTTTTGTGACATCACTGCTGTTTTGGTATTACATCTGAAAAAAATTACTTTTTACAAACACTTACAAGTACAAGCTGTTATTTCCTATAAACCAACACTATTTGTACACCTGCTATGATAACAAACCACCAAGCGTACAGGAAAAAAACTAAAGCACCATAATGAAAATCTAAGCAATCTCGTTAAAGAAGAATAGCAAATACAAGAACTAACACTGACATTTTAGGATCGCCATTACTTCAGACTTGAACAAACACCAAAGGAAAAACATTTAAATATATTCAATCTAATTCCAGCTACAGAAACAAATGAACATCTTAAAGGTGTTTTACTGAAGGGATAGCTCATTGATGTAGGCGTTAAACGAGGGATAGCTCATTGATGTAGGCGTCAAACGAAACCATTGTGAAGTATTCCATCAAATTGCCCACGCCGTGATCAGCATACCTACAGTCACTTTTTGTACCTACTCCCTCATCAATATTGTAGGCCTGAATTAGCAGGGAGAGTGTAATTAACGCCTCTATCGGAGGTGAACCCCAATCTAACTTAATCACACCAATATATATATCTTAGTGAAAATGATCAGAAGACATTTGAAGGTTAGAAGCTATGGGAGAATTCCTGGAGCAAAAACGGAAAAACAAAAACTAGGTCTGAGGATCTAACTTGATGACTACCTGGGGCAGAACAATACCTGTTAGTGTGTTATGGTTTTATAGAAGATGTGTTGTGAAAGAATCATATCATATATATTGCTACACAGTTGACATGTTTCTTTTGCTGAAGGGATTTATATCCTTACTTCAATAGTCAAGTTTTCTGAAACTTGAAGTCTCTAATGTCACAAGTATACAGTATACAGTGGTACCTACAGCAGACTTTATCCTCATAAATCTCTTAAAGATACTTTTAATTTTACATTTTTTGGTACAAGAAAATAACTGTTTCAGAATTACTTTGACGCCACAACAGTTTTCTGTCTCCTGATGCTAAGTAATTATAAGATCTTGCTTTGTCAACATTGATGTACCGAGGACAAACACAGCTATAGACCAAGATGTTGGATATCTTAAAACCAACTCTAAATGAACAGGTCAATTTATACCATCAACTAGAGGTCATAGTAATTAAATTATGTCAATGAATTAATCAATACAAGTTTAGAATTGCCTATCACCTTTACACATCCAATTAGCTGTTACTCAACTCCTATGGATTTATATAACAGGTCACATATCATTGTCCGTCCTTACGCAAGAGTATTGATAGAAATTTTAAATCACCTGATAGGTCAATAAAACATGATTAAGGCCAATAAGTATAATTATGACTGGTCGGCCACTACATTATGGAGTACTGAGTGGCCAAAGTGGCTGGACAAACAGAATTTGAGTGGACAATGGCTGAAATCTAGAGTCCAAACACCCTGGTCAGTTTACCCAAGGATTGACCAGTGATCATGGTGTCTACTTCTGACATAACTAAGTAAGGACAAGGACTGGTCATTCTGACCAGACTGGGGACAGAGGCCACTTGAGATTTATGTAAGATTTACGTGGTCAAGGGTTTTCAAACCCAGTGTCATCTAAATTATCTCAAATGTAAACCATACACAGTATATAACAAGGACACTGGTGAAATCCAGGCCAAGAAAGGGTGGTGAATTTATGAATTAGTAAAAAAATCAAAAAGCATTTACAATTAAATAGAAAGAAAAATTAGAATTAATAATTATCATTCTAGTAAATTTTATGGGTTTTTTGGTCCAAACTGATAAATCTTCATAAATCCCTTATCAGATTGGTTTTACATTTCATTTTGTGTTTGATGCATGCTCCCATTATGTAACGACACATTACATATATCAGTGTTTAAATATTACTTCTATCCTTTTTTCTCTGTTCAATTTCATAATTTCATATTATTTTAAAGAATTAACATTTCATTTCAATACAACAAAAAATAATTCAATACTCTTATGGAAAAATTTCATAAATTTAATTGTCTGTCTGGTCATCAAATACATTTGTGGTGGGTCTGACTTGAGGGGAAGTAAGAAGGAATTGGACAAGAGATTATAAGATGAGCGGGGAGTGATCATGACAAGGTAACGGAACCATTTACCAGACGTTCACACATTGTGGTGTAAGGTTCCCCTGGCCGTCACCTCCCTATTATAGGTAATATTGTCTGTCCGTCACCTCCCTATTATAGGTAATATTGTCTGGCCGTCACCTCCCTATTATAGGTAATATTGTCAACCTGTATCACCTACATCTACCACATCTATCATTAGAGGGTCACCATCAGTAAGAAATGGTTACCAGGTATAGTAATTGGGTTTTAACATAGGAAACTTGTAAGTACAGAATATTCCTAGTTATAACAATATTTCCATCTCAAAATTTATAAATATTCCCCAAGTTTTCAAACCTGAACCAGTAAAACATCTTGGATAAAAGACAAATAATTATTTCCAGCTAGAGAAGACAGTTTAAATATTGCAGTGTTTTCACACAGAACTGATACAACGAAGATCCAGAAAATCAGTAATATTCTAAAACTAGTAAATGTACAAGCACAGATAACTTCAGACCATATTCACTGCAACCTAAATCATCATAATATATTCATGAGCTTCAATCATTCGACTGGCATTGTCTTTTCCTTCCAAACTCTGTCTTAGGAGATTTTCACTGTATTGGAGAGGACTATAAAAACTTTTAACAGAAATGACTCGTATATATCAAATGTTTTATAATATATTCAAATTCAGGATTATTATTTTTATTTCCTCACAAATGTATGCCTCTATTTAGATAGACATCCAAAAGGTTTTTATAGAGATTCTTTTATAGTAGTAGTGTTATCTATAGGATTGCAATTATCTCTGGTCAATGTAATTTTCATTACCTGAAAGATATAGCTACATATATTTTAACATCCTATTTTCTTCCTGTGATAAATTAATCTGTAAACATGTGTTGAATAACAATTTTTTAAGTCAATAAATTGACACACAGAAGGACCATTTCCTAACCTTAATAAAAATTCTTTATATTGATTGTTGGAAAATTTAAATAAAATTCACATATTCACTGTTGCAATATTGATGTGTACTTAAAATACAAACTGTTACAAAATTTAAGTGGTAAAGAATAAAAAAGAATTGACACAAAAAACTCTAAATATAAGAATTCTCCTTGAGCCGTTTTAACAAATCTCATTATACACAAATGTAGATATCAACTTGTAGGACTTGGAGATGCAAGATTGTTGTTTTTGTCAGAAGGAGAAACAATGACAGCTTTGAGAACAGGTAAACTGGAGAAGTAGAAGGAATCGGGTTACAAACTTGAGTAATTTATGGCATTTGAATACAAAGCCCTTAGTAAACCTTTAGCGGTGTGTGTGCTTGTGAATATTTAGGTAGAGGAACAGCCCTTTTTCATCTTTTATATATATCATTATTACTAGTATATCAGCATCCAGATTTCTATACTATTTAGAATTAATTTCAAAATATTATCCATACTCATATGGAATTTCAAACGATGAGATATAAACATTTGATTGATTTCATAAAAAAAAGAAGCATTTCTTTTATCATCACTGATTTTGCTTATGCCAACCTTCAAATCTTTATTCTTAAAGATCCAGTTCAAGAAGGAAATAGAAATGTATGTAGATCTATCTATCTATAGATAATGGGTCAAAGAAGTAATATAGACGGTAAAATCCCATATAACACTGGATCCTAATGGAGGTATGTAGTATATGGGGCAAAGAAGTAATTCCAACAGTGTGGACAAGTAAAGGTTGTCAAATTTTCGAAGCGATCCGTTCCTTTATCAAGACACAGTGAAACAGAACAGTTACATGTACATATACATCATATTACAAGAAAATAGAATTGATATACTATAATTGAAAATATAGCTATTATATAATTACATCTATAGATAATTATATACAACACATCATTCTGATGCTGATTTAATTTCTTTTAATGTGATAGTTAAATCTTTTGATTAGGACAACTGATGATTAGGACAACTGATGATTGGGACTGATGATTGGGACAACTGATGATTAGGACAACTGATGATTGGGAAAACTGATGATTAGGACAACTGATAAGGAAGGTAAGCGGTAGGTTAGTTTTATTCGTCTCCTACCATTAAACATAAAACAGTGTATATCTTATAATGTTTTGAGCTCTGTAACATTTTACATCCACATAAACAGATCCACATGCCGAAACCAAGACTTTCCCATGGTTCTCTTCCTATGTACAGTTAGTTGGAGGGAGGAAGAGATATACAAAATATTACAGAGAAAAGTCTGAAATTAATCTTTTGTAGAGCAAATTAACAACGGAGAGCGGAACTCAGTAAGAAATTACGACTAGGTTAAGGATAGCGAATAGTATAGAGATAGGGAGAGATCACCAAGAGACTTAGCCTGTTCTGTAAGTCGAAGCTACAGCATCATCAACCAGCCTCTCTACAACACTGTACCAACAAATATACAACACCCAGACTCACCTAAATCCAGGGCTCCAACCTCCTGGTAAAAGTCCACAGTCAAAATCCACAGAATTATTACAAACTTCGCTTTATGCCACACTTTAACATTAGGGAAACAACCAAATTCCAATGGTTTTGTTTTAGTGCGTGTATGAACGACCTCCATCCTGTTACTGGCTCGTCGGAACAACATCGTCTCTCACGACGACGAACATCCACGGATTATCATCTACTCATCTCCAGGTGATGGTGAGTTTGGAAAACAAAAAATAAATATCAATTTGATAAATCCTCCAACATCAGTATGTAAATTTAGTAGATCAATCCACCCATCATACAACAGAATACATTTAAAATGTAAAGATTTTTTTGTGACACAGAAAAAACATGTAGAAAAATTCCTTTCACAGTGAATGAATAGAAAACGGCTGAGTTTGCGCTCTAGTGGTACATTTATCAGTAGTATAAAGATCCGTGGTAGTAGTACTACACATGTGGTTGTGTATACATATAGTACGGGGCCCCATTCACTGTCCACACACACCAACTTCCAATGGGCTTCTGGATATCAACAATAGCACCACTAGCTTATTCTTCATTATGACTGGCTGGCCTAGCACACTGTGTGTTGTAGGGGTGATAGGGGGCCTTGTGTGGGTTCCGCTCCACGGCTGGCTGTGAGCACACAGTAGAGCTGTACGGCTTGTCTCACCTGTGGGAATACAAGTAGGCTAGTCCATCATTATAGAATTAATCATTTACTGTTATACACAGCTAGGTTCGGCATATACCTGTTATAGGTGAGGATGCTGTGTACTAGCTACCTGTGCTCAGTACTAATTAACAGGTATAGGTAGCACCTGATAATAGCAGGTGTGTTAGACAGCTGTTAATGGAAACACATCTACTCCCAAGTTCTCCCGTTACAGTACTGATGCTTACTGGTAAACAAAACCTAAATTACAGCAGTATGCTGTAGTGATGTACCTGTACATATTCAGGTGTTGTTTGTTTACAGTAAGGATAGTGTATTGGTAACTTTCTCTTGTAATACAAATAGGATTCTTTTGACAAGTGGTAGATCCTTGAGTATTTCATTTAACATCACATATTTATAACAGCATTGCATTGTGAGTAATTCTTAGTCCCCACCTCCGCACAAATTCCCATATAAACAAGAGGCACAGAGGACCTGTATCGCTCACCTGAAATAGCAAAATATTCTCATTAGATATTATCCTGTATTACAAATAGTTCACTCGAAAACTTTGTTGACTCCATCAGTTGAAACTACCAGCCAAATATTATCATATGATTCTATGCTTTTTGCTTCTTCTTCAGAAGTTGTGAAGTGTTTGATATATTTTCCCCTATGACCTTGTAAGGTCAAGGCAATTTTCCTTCTGAAACTTTGTTGGCTCCCTCCCAAGAAGCTACCAGCCAAATCTCATGAAACCATTTCTTTTAGTTCTTCAGAACAAATTGATTAAAATGTTGTTAACCTGTGTGACCTTTAAAGTAGGTTGAGGTCATTTTCATTTGCAAACTTTGTCATGCTCAATATTAAGAAGTTACCAGCCAAATATTAAGGTTCTATACCTTTCAGTTCCTCAGAAGAAGTCACTTGAAGTGTTTGACATATTTGACCCCCATAACCTTGAAAAAAGGAAGCTATTATAAATCTATGCTCTAAGATTATTCAGAAGAAGAAGTTCAAAGCATTTGACATATTTGACCCCTGTGACATTGAAAGTATGTCAAGGTCATTTTCTTTTTAAGAAGATTCTATACCTTTCAGTTCTTCAGGAGAAGTCGTTTTAAAATGTTTGACACATTAGACCCCAGAGATCTTGAAATTAGGTAAAGGTCATTTTCATTCTCAAACTTTGTCAGGCTCTATCCCAAAGGGCCACCAGCCAAATACGAAGATTCTATACCTTTCTGTTCTTCAGAAGAAGTCATTTGAAGTGTTTGACACATTTGACCCCTGTGACCTTGAAAGTAGGTCAAGGTCATTTTTATTCTCAAACTGTGTCGGACTCCTACCAATGAAGCTTTCAGCCAAATACAATGACTTTAGGCCTGTCAGTTCTTCAGAAGAAGTTGTTTAAAGGAAAGTTGACGTTAAAAACTAACAAAGGGCCATAACTCCAAATATGGTAGGGTATCAGGCCTGATTTCAGTACCCAAGAGGTTATAACACTTTGGTAATAGAAGAATAGAAGAGCACAGAGTATACAATTGATGCCCCATAGAAAGTGATGCACAGTAACCTCCGATAGTGGGACTCGAGATCCGATTTATCAATCAACACTCAGTATCAGTCAGGGACTAGTAAACATTAACACTGCGGTACATATATATAGGATCTTACATGAGTTTCCATTTCATATGAGATTTATGAAATGAGTCAAAGTATTTTTCAATTTAGCTAGGCCTCTGGTGAGCTATAAATGAAAAATTTGTGATGAGTTTCATAAATTTCTGCATATGAAATGAAAACGAGTGTAAGATCCTTTTTATCACATAATCAAGATTTGTGGCATTTATTCGTGTAAAACGACAGTTTTCATGCAACCTTGAAATGTAAAAAGCCGCCATTTCGACTTCAGTGCGGAAGTTTGTAACGTCATGTACTTGTCCTAGGCGTGATGTCACAATTGAAACAATTGAAACTTACAACCAATCACAGGGCTGATAGGTCATATTATATGGGTTAATATTCACTGGATAACACAGTACATTATGTGATAAAAATCAGTGTTAGAAACATTTTCAAAGTAACCAAGGAATTATAAAAAATATATATAGGTTTGTTCCTACATTTTTGAGGGAGTCAATTTTTTGTTTTTTTTGTTTGTTTTAAATATGATATTTACATATTATTTAAGGTAATATATAAGTGAAAGAATTGAAAGATTTTTTAAAAGTTAACTGACCAAATGTTAAGCTATAATGAACAATGTATTTTAAAAAGCTAAAGAACAAAGTTTAACACTGTGTTAACAAGAAATTAATTTATGAAACTTTCCTCTTTATTTGAAAATAATGCTTACAAGTTATCTCAACAAATTGAAAAACAACCCACTTGTACATATTTGAATCCAACATTTGGCTCAGTGCTATCAGAAGTCTGCAGTACTAACCTATAGACCTCAGATACTGTTACAAGGCACAAGGAAATCAAATTCTTCCAGACTTTTGAGTCTACCATAAGATAATGACTAACTAAATGTATATGTTCTGTGTTCCCAATAAGTTATTGACTAATTAAGATAGCAACCAATCTCGTCACAGACCAGAACTATATACACATTAGATGATTATAAGTGTGTGCAGATTCCTTAATACAAAATAAGCTTAGAGTATTTTATACCAGGTACCTGATGTACTAGATCTATTCTCAGCGACACAATACATACACATGTTGCAGCCTGAAAGTTGAATTTAATACTTAAGTTATAAAAGACACATATGATGTGAGAATAATCGCTACAATCCAATCAATCTATAGATGTGTGCTGACACACATCCTACCTGTGCATTTACCTGTATTTACCTGTACTGATGCTATCTTTCTCCAATAGTACACAAGGTAGGAATGACCTGTCAGTCACAGGTAACACATGGACAGGTAGACAGCACCTATAAATAAGCAGATATCACCTCTGTATTTTATGTTTATCTAAGTTGATTACGCAAATCTCATGTAATATACATTTTAATCAATTAATACAAAAATAGGCACATTTAAGGACATCTCTTCCCTGATTAAAGATCCCTGCAAGTCTGCTGTCAGAAGTAGATAATTCCACTGGTTTTTGTAACCTTTGATCTGATGTCATTTCTCCTACCCTTCATCAACTACAAAAATATCAATAGAAAGTTCTGCAATGTTTGAGTTTTTATTCAAAAATAATTAATAGAAGTTTTAGTCATGCAGAGAAATAAGGCTCCAAATCATACCTGGTAGACTTGGCAGTGGTACAGGGATCTTTAATGCTAAGTATTGTACTTTATTCGGGTATTCACAGCTATATTGGATTTAGTGCTAAGTATTGTACTTTATTCAGGTATTCACAGCTATATTGGATTTAGTGCTAAGTATTATACTGTATTCGGGTATTCACAGCTATATTGGATTTAGTGCTAAGTATTGTACTTTATTCGGGTATTCACAGCTATATTGGATTTAGTGCTAAGTTTGTTTGAAAACAAACAGTAATTGAAAACTTATTTTGCAAGATTTCCAAAATTTCTGTTTCCTTTGTCAAGCAAAGAGTGCAAATGACATGTTTCTCAACTCTTATATTATATTTTGTACAGAGGAAGGATATAGTGGGTTATCACAGCTATATTGTATATTATACTCAGAAGAGCTAAACTGGGTTATCACAGCTATATTGTATATTATACTCAGAAGAGCTATACTGGGTTATCACAGCTATATTGTATATTATACTCAGAAGAGCTATACTGGGTTATCACAGCTATATTGTATATTATACTCAGAAGAGCTATACTGGGTTATCACAGCTATATTGTATATTATACTCAGAAGAGCTATACTGGGTTATCACAGCTATATTGTATATTATACTCAGAAGAGCTATACTGGGTTATCACAGCTATATTGTATATTATACTCAGAAGAGCTATACTGGGTTATCACAGCTATATTGTATATTATACTCAGAAGAGCTATAGTGGGTTATCACAGCTATATTGTATGTCGTACACTAGTAGCCTATAGTGGGTAATCACAGCTATATTGTACGTTGTACACCAGTAAGCTATAGTGGGTTATCACAGCTATATTGTATGTCGTACACTAGTAGCCTATAGTGGGTAATCACAGCTATATTGTACGTTGTACACCAGTAAGCTATAGTGGGTTATCACAGCTATATTGTATGTCGTACACTAGTAGCCTATAGTGGGTAATCACAGCTATATTGTACGTTGTACACCAGTAAGCTATAGTGGGTTATCACAGCTATATTGTATGTCGTACACTAGTAGCCTATAGTGGGTTATCACAGCTATATTGTATTTCGTACACTAGTAGCCTATATTGGGTTAACACAGCTATATTGTATGTCTTACACTAGTGACTTATAGTGGGTTATTACAGCTATATTGTATGTCGTACACTAGTAGCCTATAGTGGGTTATCACAGCTATATTGTATATTATACTCAGAAGAGATATAGTGGGTTATCACAGCTATATTGTATATTATACTCAGAAGAGCTATACTGGGTTATCACAGCTATATTGTATGTCGTACACTAGTAGCCTATAGTGGGTTATCACAGCTATATTGTATATTATACTCAGAAGAGATATAGTGGGTTATCACAGCTATATTGTATATTATACTCAGAAGAGCTATACTGGGTTATCACAGCTATATTGTATGTCGTACACTAGTAGCCTATAGTGGGTTATCACAGCTATATTGTATATTATACTCTGAAAATCTATACTGGGTTATCACAGCTATATTGTATATTATACTCAGAATAGATATAGTGGGTTATCACAGCTATATTGTATGTCGTACACTAGTAGCAT